GCCTGGGATGCAGGTCTATAATCCCAATTACTGGGGAGGCTGGGGATCAGGGTGATTGAGGCTTAAGGCCAGCCTGAGCTACAAAGTGAGTTCAGGTTAGTCTTAACAACGTAACAAGGCCTAATGTTAGAATCTAATGTGAGCTGGGCAGTGGTGGCACACGCCTTTAATCCCAGCACTTGGGAGGCAGAGGCAGCGGATTTCTGAGTTCGAGAGTTCGAGGCTAGCCTGGTCTACAGAGTGAGTTCCAGGACAGCCAGGGCTACACAGAGAAACCCTGTCTCGAAAAAACCAAACCAAAAAAAAAAAAAAAAAAAAAAGAATCTAATGTGAACAAAGCCCGATATTCAAACCCAAATACCTACACAAAATAAACATTACCACTGGCCAGGTGTCAAGGTCATGCCTGTATTCTCACCCATTTGAGAGGCTGAGGCAGGAGACTGCCATGAGTTCAAGACTAGCTGTGTCTATACAGTGAGTTCTGGATCAGTAAGGCTACAGCAAGATAGTGCTTCAACTTGCCTCCACCTCTCCCCCCAGATCACCCAACCAACTTCACAAACAGAGCAGACCACCCAGCAATGGCCTATGGAGGAGAGCTGGCTAACACCAGCTAGCTGACCAGGCCCCTCAGAGTCCAGAGACGCAGGGCAAAGGCTCTGGCTCAGACAGAGCTCGCTAGCTACAACCAGAACTCGCTAGCCACCACCTGCCTTTATCACACACACACACACACACACACACACACACCCATTTTACTATGCTATGAAGCAGCCACTTGCAAAGTTCTTGGTCAATGGAATATAGATTGCAGAGATTTAAATGGGGATGAGATCCTGCCTCCGGTCTGAGACTATTTGTGAGGTGTTCAAAGTGTGTGTGTGTGTGTGTGTGTGTGTGTGTGTGTGTGTGTTCCCACATGGAAACTAGGACAAAGTGCAGAAGTCTGTTCTTCTTCTATCAAGTGGGTCCTGGGGATTGAACTCAGTTTGTTAGGCTTAGAGATAGGTGCCTTCATCTACCGAGCTATCCCTCTAACCCTTGCCTGAAATCTTCGGGGTCGAGGTGACATCATTAAAGAAACCGTAGCCGTCACAGGATGGTAGCAGTTGCACTCAGAGGTCAGAGGACATCAGGGGTCCTCTTCTATTGGTCTCCATCGCATTCCCTTGACACAGTCGGGGTCTCTCACTGAACTTGGATACGTCCCTTTTCGCTACAGATGCGCCCTTCCTGAGGATGCTCATTGGCTGGGATTTTTAGACTGTGCCACAGAAAGTAAGACACGTAATCTCCCTCACTCCACCTCAGAGAAGCTCCCAGGCTCATGGGTAATACCAGCTACATTGAATGAACACCACAGATCAAGTCTGGGAAGCTATCTAGGTCTATCAGGAAGGGCTTAACCACGAAGCCCCACAGGGAGGGCACTGATAAGGCCTGGCCTTCCCAGGTCCCACCCAAGCAACACCCAAAACTAGGCCCCCCCTCATAAACTACGGGGGGGTGGGGAGGGGGAAGCAGCCACCTGCTGGCAGGAAGCCAACCTTCACCCTTCCATGGGACTTGTGCCTCTAAGCTGCATTCACCAAGGCAGAGCCTTCCTGAGTCTTTAGAGTCCTAGCCCATGGCATTGCTCAGGCACAGACCCTTCTCCTGCACCCTCCTGGAAACCTGGAGGGTGTAACACACCAGTATCATTACCACCTGCCCTCGGCCTCCTCAACATCCTCCCTAATTCCAAGCCACTCCTCTCACACAACCTCAGCCTCCCTATGGCTTCAAGCGCCATTTTGGAGGCTCATGGCACGAACTGGGAGCATCAGCCTAAGCCTTCCCCTTAGACTCCAACTTCCACTTTCCTGCCCAACCAACCAAACATGGGTGTCCCATAAATCCTCAACAGCCTATGAATTCATCCTTTCCCAAAACTTCTCCAACTGATAAGTAGCAGCACCCATACAGCCTAAAACTCAGGCCTGGTGGGCGGATCCCTCTCCAGAGTCCCTCTCAGTATTTATACATTAGCCATGTCCCTGCCCCCACCACACACACACACACACACACACACACACGCACAGCTTCCACACGGACAACACTATAGCTATTCCCAACAGCTTCTGGCCACCAGTCTCACCCTCCCTCCCTTGTCATCCATTTGGTCACCAGAGTCTGGAGGCAGAGGCAGGTGGATCTCTGTGAGTTCGAAGCCAGCCTGGTCTATAAATTGAGTTCTAGGACAGCCAGGGCTGCACAGAGAAACCCTGTCTCAAAAAGCCAAAGATAGATAGATAGATAGATAGATAGATAGATAGATAGATAAATGTTGGGCATGGTGGTGTATGACTGTACTCTCAGTACTAAGGAGACAGAGATAGGGATGTCTGTGAGTTTATGGTCAGCCTGGTCTACACAGCAAGTTCTAGAAAAGGCAGTGCTACATGGTGATAAATGGTCTTGTGTTTTTAAAAAAAAAAAGAAAAGAAAACTTTAGAAGCAAACAGTCAAGACATAGCCCCTGAACCCTGAACTTCTCTGCTTCATCCTGAGAAAGCCATGTGCAATGTCATTTCAGGAGACACTGCTTACTGAGTTAAGCCTGTCTCAAGAAAAGAACACTACTGCAAAGTCAGAGGATGGCAAACGCAGTACCAGGAAGAAAATGCAGTGCCAGTTCCAAAAACAACAAAAGGAAACACCTCCAGGGCTTTGTCCTGCCTCTGGTTATGCATGGCAGGGCCACTTTGTGGTTTAGACACCAAATCCCACTTAGCAGAAAAGCAAAATACAAGCCTACTTGTCAACGTCCAAACAAAAGGAAAATATAGAAAAGGAGTCAACAGCAAACTTCCCAACACTGTTGCCAAGGAGGACAGAAGCTGCTGGACTCCAGCTCTTCTTCCTTTCCCATCTGGGATGGCTTAGTTTCTGTGGAGCTGTGGCTGGAATCCAGAGCCTGGTCCATGGGGGTACTAGGGCTCTGCCATTGGGCTACACCCCCAGCCCTTAATAAAGCCTTTCTTTGGAGACAAATGCTCAGCTGCTCAGGCTGGCCTCAGACTCATAATCCTCCTGCCTCAGCCTCTAAGGCTAGCTGTGTGTGGCTGGCACATTCTACCACATCTGCCCCTCCCTCCACGGAGGTCTTAAACAAATAGATGCTGACTTCAAATGTAGACTTGTAGCTACACAATGTCACAATATAAAAAATTAGAAACATTGTGTCTAAAAAATGGGCCTTCACTACCTGCAGGGGCAGGACTTGTCTTCAGCCAGGAACATCAGGCTGCACTTGAGTAGCTCACCTACTTCTCACTGTCCGGCTTCAGCAGCATCTCATGGCTCCAAGGTCCCAGATGCATCCGCTACTGGCCACCTTCCCTCTTCCTCAACACCTGGTCCACCACCCATCTGGCAAATACACTTTAAGACAAACCTACAGTCAGCTCCCACGAGGAAGCCTTTCTGCACTGATTGTCCCCCTTTAGTCTGGTTTTCCTTTACCTAACAGGACCATGCTAACCAACCTGCGACTCTTCTCTAGCTCATAGACCTGTCACTGTAGACAGGAACCATGCTATGGCTTCATATTGGTACTGTAAGACCTGGCTCAATGCCAAAGGGAGTCTCTAGTAGCCGGGCGGTGGTGGTGCACGCCTTTAGTCCCAGCACTTGGGAGGCAGAGGCAGGCGGATTTCTGAGTTCGAGAGTTTGAGGCTAGCCTGGTCTACAGAGTGAGTTCCCAGGACAGCCAGGGCTACACAGAGAAACCCTGTCTCGAAAAACCAAACCAAAAAAAAAGGAGTCTCTAGTAAATGTTTACTGAATGGAGAGGCTATATAAATACACACCTCATGGTTATTTTTCTCTCTTTTTTAAGGCAGTGCCCTCTATGCAGCTGGACTTAATCTCACAATCTTTTACCTCCGTCTCCCAAGGGCTGGAGTCACAGGTATGTGATGCCACAAGAGGTCATGCTCCAGTCTCTGAGGTCTTAGTACCCATGATATCCTAGCTCCAATGTAAGAGCAGCCCAGGAATATAAACGTGAGTGGACCTTATAAAAGATGTTAATGACTACTCTGGTCTACTGCAAGAACCAGACAATTCTCCCCATCATGGTCATGGGAGAAAATGACGATGGCACCAAAAATCCAAATCTAGGCTAGCCTCACACTTGCTATGTAGCCAAGGCTGGCCTTAGACTAAGTGCTGAGATAACCGGCATGCACCAGCAAGCTTCGTCTTGTTTCTGTGTAGCAGATTCCATTGGCTCAAGCTGTAAACACATGATGACTAGTTCCCACGGCAGACACCTAGGCAGGCCAGGATGGTCTCTTACCTGGCACAGTGCTAGCTGCCTGTCTACATGGCTCTACATGGCTCCACTCCAGATGCTGGTAGGCACCAGGGCTACATCTCCACCACAGGCTGCTCCAGGCAGATCAAAGAAGGAGCCCTGTCAGGGTTTCCTACTTCTCTCCCAGCCGGCTATCCACAGCCTGAAGTCAGTTTGCAGCACCTGTTCCCTGTATCCTTGGCTGGCTACCACTGTCATTAACTAAGAACTATGCTTCCCACTACCTAGAAAGGAACAAAGAAATAAAAACAACAACAAGAAGAAACCAAGTTGAAAGAGTCTTGGGAAAGAAACAGCCCTTCCATCAGTTAGAGCAGTGGCTAGTATTAACACCATTGCCCAGAAATAGAACGCTCTACAGCCAGCCCAACCCTTAGGAAAGGATTCCAAGTTATAAGGGAAGACCATTCTGCTCTGGGGTAGCCTGATTCCAATTTCCTCTCTTCTTTTTATTCAGCTGACTCCCTTCTCACCTCAGCGTCTCCTCCTGACCCCAGAGCACTGCCCCAGTCCCCAAAGTATCAGTCCACCACTACGACCCTCAGCACCGGTCCTGTGGTTTACAAAGGCAGTTTCAGCCTCTCCATACCCGCAAGCCACAATCTTCTCCCTCAGCCTCTCCCTGTGTCCCCATCACCTTTGCATTAGAGTCTGGCCCCAAAACCATGTTTCCTTGCCCAGTCTTCCAACCTCCGCTGCCAGGAGCCGATTCCTGCCCTATGTTCTTCTTCAGTAGCCCACCACAGGCCGGCCACCTATGCGGACCTCTCCTCTCCAGCCTTGAGACTTCGCCCCGCCCCCGCCTCGGCTGCAGTCCCTATACCTTTAACAAACCTCCACGTGCTTGTTAACGGCGGTGACAGCATTTCCTTGTCTCTCTGCTCCCGCCCCTGGAGGCGCTGCCCATTGGCTGCTGGGTTCCTCCATTCTCGTTCTAATTGGTCGCGCTTCAGGAAACTCAAACCAATGAGCTCTCCGCATCTGGATCCCTGCTTTGGTCCTGGGCAACTATTGGCTGATCTTGGGCACCTTGGTTCCGAGAGTTTAGGACTTACTAGTTTGTCTGGGGCTCTAGTAAATTCTTCCTTCCCAGGCTAGATACACAAGCTGAGCAATTGGTTCCGAACCCAGAGGAACCCAGGGCCAGGCGACGCTGGGTCACGTGGCCGACTGCTGACATGACGTACGGGCTGCTGAGCGTCACTGTGACGTTCAGGAGACCTGCGAAGTGGCCGGGCTACCTCCGTCACCTGTGCTGTCGGGGTGCTGTCATGGACCTGGGACCGATGCGCAAGAGTTACCGCGGGGACCGAGAGGTGCTGCCGCTGCCACCGGGACACAGAAAGGGGGTGGCCTTAAATTATCTACCAAAGGGTTGGAGGAGCACCTTAAAGGCAACAGGATTTAGGGATCACCCTGAGGAGAGAAGGGGGTTTCAGAGACAACCAGTGGGGAGGGCCTCAGGGGAAACGCGGATTAACGTGACTCAGGCCCCTTGACTTCAGAGCCCACCTGTGTTGGAGCCCAGCCCTTTTCTGACTATATCACCATGGGCAATTTATGCTTCCTGGACCTCAGCTTATTCACCTGCAAAGTGATAATACCTACTCCACAAGGATGCTATGGGTCTGGGGGTTTTCTTATTTTTACATTTTTATACATTTAGAGCGTGCGTCAGGGGACAACTTTCAGGAACTGGTTTTCTCCTTCCATCACATCAGAAATGAACTCGGGTCATCAGGTTTGGTGGTAGATGTCTTTACCTGCTAGGCCATCTCACCAGCCTGTATTTAGTCATTTGTAAACTGCTTAAAACAGTCATAAACGTGGTATAAAATAATGAGGGAGTGGAAGGTGGGCTTGCAGCTGAGTTCGGTGGAGTCTGGGTTCCAACTAAGCACCAAATGGACTAGGCATGGAGAATCCAAAGGTCAGGGTCCTTCTGCTGCACAGTGAGTTTAAGGCTAACCTGGAAGCTCTTCATTTTAACCTCCCTCAGCACCCCCTGGGTCATCTTCTCCCTCCTCAGGTCAGGGACCAAGAGAGAAGTTTTGGAATTGAGATCCAGAGCTACAGTGGTCAAGTGTGCTTGTACATAAACTTGTGCAGGAACGCTTGGCTGAAATGGAGGGTTCTGGGAAACCTTAGAACTACTTGAAAAAGAACAAGGTGACCAATGGGGGCTTCAGTAGGCTCCAGCCCTCGTTCACCTCTTCTCTGTTAGGAGACTCAGAAACTTATTGGGCCATTTTATGCCTGTTTCATCATCTGTAAATGGACATAGAACCTATTTCCTGGGTAGTGTTTTGTTTGTTTGTTTTTTCATTCTTTCAAGGTCATCATTATAAAGGCTAAATGCATTTACATTTGAAAAGCACCTCAACCCATTACTAGGCACAGAGTAAACCTAGTATGTTCATTAAATGAAGTCAACCTCTCTTTCTAGGCTTTTGAGGAGACTCATCTGACCTCTCTGGATCCCATAAAGCAGTTTGCTTCCTGGTTTGAGGAGGCCGTTCAATGTCCGGATATAGGAGAAGCCAATGCTATGTGTCTGGCTACCTGCACCAGGTATGCACAGTCAGCGGCCCCTGTGTGGGTGGTTCCAGATGGAGTTGGAGATTAGGAACGCCTAAATTAAATGCTCTCAGTGTTATTATATCTTCAGTTCCGCTATTAAAGCCAGTCTTCTCTGAGCCCCAGTAAACCAGCCCTTAACTGGTAAACCAAAGCCAGATCCCTGAACACTCTCTAGTGATAAAATGCAGTGCCTTGTACATCTCGGTCCTGATGTATCCACTCACAGCCCTGGCCTTCCTCAGGCCTTCCTATCTGTTCAAGCCCTTTCTTCCCTTTCTGAGCTACATCTGCTGGGACTGCCCCTGAGGCCCTAATCCCTCTCTTGAAACCCAGCATGGGTCTTACCAATCAGCCATACCCCTTGAGAAATCTCTAAGGTCAGCCTCTTATTCAGCACCTCTTGTCCCCTCTCACTAAAGCACCAGGCATCAAGATGGGGCTTTGACATCTCCTCTCAGTGTTACTCAGAGCTCTGAGCAGAGGACCGTCCACCACTGCCTCTTTGTGTGATACACTGGTTCGATGCGTTGTTGTTGGTCCAGTCTCTCCCAGTATTACAAGGTTTTCATCAGTGTCGTCGCAAAGTTCTACGGTCAACAGAAGTTTACTGTTTACACTTCTGGAGGCTAGAAGTCCGAGAGCAAGTGGTTTGTCAGGGGTGGTGTCTGGTGATGCCTCTGAAGATAGCCGCCCCCTTACTGTGTCCTCATGTGACCTTTGAGAGAGCACCCACTCTGTCTTGTCTCTCTTCTTACAAAGGCACCACCAGTCTTACTGGATTAGAGAGAGTCCCACCCCACAGACTACATTTAATCTTAATTGCCTCCCTAAAACCTCTGCCTTCCAAAAACAGTCACACATCCCTTAGGGGATACTGTTTGATCCACAAGGAGCCCCAGATAAGTGGAATCACACTAATATCCCAAGGGCATTGTTTGATGGCGTCGGATCCCACAGCTTGACTCTCTGCCTTTTTTTTTCTTTTCAGTTTATGTCTATGCATTTGTTTACATGATTTACACAGTTGACATTTGCCTCGATAAGGGGTTGCTCAAGGGTAAGAACACTGGAACGGGTTCTGACCTGCTGCTCTGCTGTGTGCCCCCTAGAGACGGAAAACCCTCTGCCCGCATGGTGCTGCTGAAGGGCTTTGGCAAGGATGGCTTCCGCTTCTTCACTAACTACGAGAGTCGGAAGGGAAAAGAGCTGGTGAGAGTCAGGGTAAATCCTCCCAGGGCGGACGGGGCTAGTCTCGGTCCTGGCTTACAACATCTCTGCTCGGGCTCCCTCCCGCTTCCAGGCCTTTGCACTATGAATGAATAAGCCACACCCACTTCCACATCTGCTACCCAATCAGCACCTGTTCCTTCAGGTCTCGTCCACATGGTCCCACATTAGAGAAGCCTTCTTCTTTTTTTTTTTTTTTTTAAAGCAAGAGCTGGACCAAGAGTCTTTTTTTTTTTTATTTATTTTATTTATGAGTACACTGTCGCTGTCTTCAGACACACCAGAAGAGGGCATCAAATCTCATTACAGATGGTTATGAGCCACCATGTGGTTGCTGGGATTTGAATTCAGGACCTCTGGAAGAGCAGTCAGTGCTCTTAACCACTGAGCCATCTCTCCAGCCCTAGAGAAGCCTTCTTTACCTAACACTGAGCTTGTGCCTGGCACTGTCTGCCAGCGGTACACCTTACAGCATTACTCTCTGTGTGTGTGTACATATTTGTATATATGTTTTTTTTTTTTTTTTTGCTTTTGGCTATGCTTTGTTTACATGATTACATGATTGACACCTGTCTCCTCTACATACTAAGCTCTGTGGAACAAACGTTGCCGCTTTTATTTAACCTGTTTTATCCCCAACACCTGTTCTAAGGTACACAGGAGTTGGCATTTCATATGTATTTGGTGAAGCCACACCGAGGTAAGTTTCACATCGACTCTCAAGACTCCAGGAGTGAGTTGGGTGTGGTGGTTCATGCCTTCCAGTATTCAGGAGGCTGAGGCAGGAGGATTAGCACAAATTTAAGTCAGTCTAGGCTACTGAGTAGGACCCTGTGTCAAAAACAAGAACAGAAATATTCAAAACCACAATTGTGATGATTGGAATGGCCGAGTCTCACGCTGGAGTTAGCCTGGCTTACACCCTGCTCTGCCACTGGCTGTGTAAAATCCAGCATGTTACTCAGCTCCTGAGGGCCTGTCTTCAGATGTGTCTGTCACAGGAGGCTCACCTTTGAGGATTTAAATGAGATATGAGAGTGAATGCATGTGTTGATGACATCCTCCTCCATCTTCCCCCGTGTGTAGGAAGTATCAATTTCCTGTTCCGATGGTACCTATGGCTTTTCTCTTCTTTCCAGGACTCTAACCCCTTTGCCTCTCTTGTCTTCTACTGGGAGCCCCTGAACCGTCAGGTGAGTGGTCGTCCCTACGACAACTTCCGGTGGGCTAGGTTGGCAGGGGTGAATTTAAAAGTGAATGTAGGAATCATATCCTGCCTGGGCCTGGCCACTCTGCCTCTCAGACAGCTTTCAGAGAATCTAGCTGGGGCTGGGAGTGTTGGGGCAGCTGATGGAACAGCGAGAACCCGGGCCTGTGCTAGTAGAAAGGGTAAGTAGTGTCAAGCATCACCTAGCCAGATTCATCCACGAACAGGTGCGTGTGGAAGGCCATGTGAAGAAACTACCAGAGAAGGAGGCCGAGAACTACTTCCATTCCCGCCCCAAGAGCAGCCAGATTGGGGCTGTGGTCAGTCGTCAGAGTTCTGTGATCCCCGATCGGGAAGTAAGTAGGGCTCCTGTATGATCCTCCTGATGAGCCGGGCCCTGAGCTCATCCCCAGAGGCTGTCTCTAGGAGATGCCAGGGTCCTGTCAAATTAGCAGAAAAGGTTGATGTTCCTAGGGGGGAGGATCAGGGGATGATGGGAAATGGGCCTCCTCTATCTGGCCCTCCTCTTGACTAGGGCCCAGGCCTACTTTCCTCACCTCTGACCCCAATACCTGGCCCAGCTCCCGCCCCAGAGCCTGTGTATGTAAGTCCTTCAGTGGATCATTTCCTGTGCCTGGCTCTTCCTCTGTCTTCTTCTTTGAACAGTACCTGAGAAAGAAAAATGAGGAACTGGGGCAGCTCTACCAGGACCAAGAGGTGCCCAAGCCAGAATACTGGTAAGTGATACCTCTGCTTAGTGGCCATCCAGAAAGGGACCCTGCAGCCCTGTCTGGAATTATAGATATCCTTCTCTGAGAAGCAAGAGAACTTGGGATGAGAAGGGAGGTGGGCACAATAAACCTCTGCTTCTTCTGTAGGGGTGGCTACATCCTGTACCCCCAAGTGATGGAATTCTGGCAAGGCCAAACCAACCGCCTGCATGATCGTATTGTCTTCCGTCGAGGCCTGGCAACAGGAGACTCCCCTCTGGGACCCATGACCCACCATGGGGAGGAAGACTGGGTGTATGAGAGACTGGCACCTTGACACTGGACTCAAGAATGTTAGGGAATCACCAGGGGGAAGAGAGTGGGGGAGAGCTGTTAAGATGGGATGAGAAAATGGAAACCAGGTCTACCTTCTGTGTGTGTGGCACTGGGTTTAAACCTTGGTCACACTAGGCAACACTTTACCACTGCGCTAGAACCCCAGCATTTATTTCTTTTTACCTTTTAAGACTAAGTTGCCTAGGCTAGCCCTGAACTCACTGTGTATCTATCCCAGGCAAGTCTTGGCCTTGAGTTCCTCGCCTCAGTCCCTTGAGTAGCAGTAACTACAGGCTTGTGCCACCAGGCCCAGCTCTAGTCTTTGTTTTTAAGCTAAGCCCATTTCCTTTCTTATCTCTTCTACCTACGTCTCTCCAGGACTCACCGTCCAAGTTCTCTGAACTCGGAATCAGCCGCTGGAACAGAGTACAACTGTGTTGTAGAGAATCACAAATAGCAAAAGAATCTCATAATTATCCCCTCGACTTTGCCCCTGGGTTTGGGAGAAGCCCATCTTGGGAGCTGCAGCTGGTCTGACTTCGTTTCCAGTAATAGATTAATCCGGCTGCAGACACAAAAGGCTTACTGGCCATGGAAAGGAGCCAGGCCAGCCCATGTTTGCTGTGACTCAGACAAACCATTACATGTTCTGGTTGGCCTTGAACTTGTTACTCTGGACACCTGCCTTCTTTTGACTTTGTGGCTGTGTGCTTCAACCTCTGTCACTGACAAAGGCTCCTCCCAAGGCAACTTTGTCCTGTGTTGATCCCCCACTTAAGCCTGGGTCCAGCAAGGACGTTGACCCTGTGGCCATCGGCCAGGTACCCTTACCTACCTCACCCCTTTTGCTAATGTGCCATGGATTTTGACTTTATTAGTATATGCCGATGAGTTGTTGAGAAGTGTTGTACCCCACCACTGTTAGGGGTGTGTCCCCCAAGCTTTAGTGTGATCTCAACTGTCAGATCCAGTGTACAAGTGTGTAATAAAAACGTGTCAGCCGTATGTGATATTAATGTTTAACCTGATTTCATCTTGTCTGCCCCCATGAGGCACCTCAGCAGACAGGACAGTTGGGGAGTCAATTTACAGGACTTTTCTGCTTGGGTCCAGCAGGGGGAGCCCAGTGGCTAGGGTTGGTCTTTACTGGGCAGTGGAGGCCAGTATCGGGCAGCCTCTCTGCCTCCCCCTTCCTCCCCTTGGGTTGCTTCCCAGTGAAACTGTGGTTGATAACCATAGCCTCTCCTGTCTCCTGCATGTATTTACACTCTCAGTTCCTCCTCCTGGGAGCTCCTGAAAGCGTGCAGCTGCCTCGCTTAGGACTCCCTGGGCAGCTGGATCTCTCTAGCCATCCAGGTCTCCAGTTTAGGGGGACATGCACTGTCTCCCTGGAAGAGTCCTGCAGAGATCTTTCTGGGACTGTGGTGGTGCATGTAAAAAGCTTAGAGACCAGGGAGCTCATGAAAGGACACGTCTGAGATAACAGCTCAGCAGTCGAGTGTTTGTCTAGCCTCTGTAAAAGATGGAAGGCCTCATTAGTTACTCAGTTCATAACGTCTCCCCAAAGGAGCTGAGGCGTCCCTCAATCTTACAGCCTCGCTGTTGGCCACCACAGACACTGCTTATAACAGAGTCTTTCTAATCCCCCAGCCCCCATCACTGAGGCAGGTACTGCTGACAGCGCCATCTTCTCTTCCAGTATGGATCATGTCTGTAATCCCAGCACTTGGGGGGCAGGATGGGGAGGATTATAGTGAGTTTGAGGTCAGCCTGGGCTACATAGTGAGTTCCAAGCCAACCTGGGCTGCAGTGTGAGTTCTTGTCTCAAAAAAAGCAAAAACAAATGAGTCTGTGCCCAGTACCTACCTATCTTCATTCCCTACCTGGGGTTAAGTAATCTCAGGATGAGCAGTTGTGAAAGGGACCCACAGCATGGGTCCTAGAGGACACCTAGCCCCTGGGCTAACCGGTTGGCTCTCTCCCATTGATTCCAGAGCTTGCACATTCCCCTTGGTGACAGTCACCTCCCAGTGGCCTAGGACATAAACATTGTCCTGTCTCATCCCAGTCTCGTTCTGTAGAAGATAACTGATTATCTCTGCCCACACCACAGACAAGAGACATTCAAGAATAGAAGGTGCTGGGGTGGGCAGGGCATCATGGTTCACACAAACAGAGCAGCTCTCGTTTTAGCCAAGTGCCTGATGTCTCTGACCTTAGCTAACTGGAAGAGAAGATGGCGGAAGAGAAGATGGTGCTGTCAGCAGTACCTGCCTCAGTGATGGGGGCTGGGGAATTAGAAAGACTGTTATAAGCAGTGTCTGTGGTAGCTAACAGCAAGGCTGTAAGATTGAGGGATGCCTCAGCTCCTTTAGGGAAACGTTATGAACTGAGTAACTAATGATACCTAGAAAGTTCTGGGGAGAAGGAAGGGGTGCAAAGGCCGAGGTAAAGGCAGGGCGCTGAGTCTATTTTCTGTTCAGCCCCTGGTCTGCCTCCCTTATCCCCTGAGTTCCCCTGGCCTGGGTGAGGCACCTAACAAAGGTCTCCTTGTATAGGTGTGTTTGTTTTGGCAATAAACTTCCTCAGCAACAGTTCCACAGGGTGGGGTGTCCAAGCACACTTTGAGGCGCTGACCCGAAAGCTGCTGGGCCACATAGCAGAGTAGCCACCTTGCTCTCTCTCTGGTCCCAACATGAGCTCCAAAGATTTGGATGATTGGTTTGGTTTGGTTTTCTTTCCAGTTCTCAGGATTTAACATTACAGGGCAAGAACTCTCTCCTGGTCCTTAAACAGAAGCAGTCGGAATGGGGGCATCCTGTAAGAAAAAGAGGAGGAAGGAAAGGGTCTGCAGCCCTGAGGAGCTTTTGGTGTATTGTTTTTGAGATAGGGCCATGATGGATACCCCAGGCTGACCTTTGAACCAGCAATCCAGCCTCAGCAGGAGCTGAGACGACAGGGATTTACTCTCATACTTGACTTCAAAGAAGTCTCTCTTTGAAATGTTCCCAAGCTCATCAAGGTAGCACCAGAGTTTAAATCTAGGTCCCAAACTAAACCCCTGAGACTTTGGGTCTGTTACCAAAGGTCTGTCCCCACGGCCTCTCTGTTGTCCAGGGGTCATCTTTCTCCTTCCTTTCACCCCGGCGATAAGAAGCCTCGTTTGGCCAGGCAGTGGTGGTGCACGCCTTTAATCCCAGCACTTGGGAGGCAGAGGCAGGTGGATTTCTGAGTCCAAGGCCAGCCTGGTCTACAGGGTGAGTTCCAGGACAGCCAGGGCTATACAGAGAAACCCTGTCTAGAAAAAAAAAAGCCTTGTTTGACAGAATTACTGACACAGCCCCTACGCTGTCACACTTGGGGGTCCTTCCTTAAGTTTGAAGGGCCCAAATGTCCGTTTCACTCACATGAAGGTAGGGACATGGGAGCTTCCGTCTGCATTCAAGTGAGGTAAGGGTGTAAATAAGACCATGGTTTCTGCAGTCTTGTTTATTCCTAAGTAAAACCTACTTTTCCAACAAAATTCAAGGCTCCAGGACTCACTCCGGGAGCTCGTCTATCTTAAATACGATCAGGGAAGGAGTGGGGGAAACCCCTCCACTCCTCCAGTTTGGATCCTTGGGCCGGCCAGTGAGGCCTCTCTTTGGGAGTATGTAATTCAGCACCACAGAAGTGGTGGTCAAGGTAAAGAGCTCACGAGGAATTCTGGTCTAGCTTCCAGTAGCACCCCAGGGAGTGCCGTGTCCTTTGCTCCTCCACTCTTAGGAGCAAAGTTCCAGGAAGTTTACTCCTTGAATTAAGAGGTGATCTCAAGTTTAGCAACTCCGCCTCTGGCACCAAGGAAACCAGGGTCACGTGACTTCCGGAAAAACTGCTCTCCTTGAATTGGCCCAGGGAACAGTCACTGGTAGAGAAAGTAGAGGGAGCAGCATTTCAAATTCACCCTTGGCCCCGTTACCCAGGGAGAGGGTGGAGTCAGTCCATCCTGTTCTCTGTCTTTTCTCTGCTGTGCCACCTCCCTGTGAGCCAAGCCACTATGTCAAGGACGGCAGTACTTCTAGGTCACAATTTTCATGCTGGACCAGAGTGCCTTTGTATGTGATCATGGGGATGAGGAGGCACTTCGTAAAGCTGGGGCACATAAATAAAAACCTAAGAACCGGGTGTTCCGGCCAGCAGGGATCAACCGCCACCATGACTATGACCAAAGAGGCCAGCGTGGCAAGCTCCTGCCTCAGACCCCACCAGTGGCGGGGAGCAGGGCGGCACTACTGTCCTCTTCGGCCGCCTTCATTGCCCTTTGTTCTCCCTGTCATCAAAGAGGTTGGGGTTCTCGGCCAACATGGCCCGGACTTTTTTCTTCTCTTTGAAACGGCCTGAGTTGGAGACCTTGACATGCTTGCCTTTGGTGTTCTTGTCCACAATCTTCTCCAGACGGCTGTTGAAGTCACTGTGAGGGTCTCCTGCATCAGGTCCTGGGGGCTCTGCACCTCCCTCCATTTGGGCATAGGTGTCAGGGATTTCGTAGAGCACTTTGGGAGTGGATTTTTTTTTCCGGAGGAAGGTCAGCTTCCACCAACCAACTTCAGTCATGGTGGCCCCTAAACCCAGGCAGAGCCTTCTGCTGGACCAAATGAGAAAGACAAAGTCAGTGGGTGAAATTGGACCAGCCCTGTCCAGGCTCGTTCATAGTGACTGGCTATTTTAAGAGATAGAGGCAGGTGTGCTGGTTAATGCCTATAATCCCAGCACAGAGGCTGAGCTGGGAGGGTTGTAAATTGGAGGCCAGCCTGGGCTACATAGTAAGGGCTTGTCTCAACAAACAAACAAACAAACAAATAAAAAAGTCAAGCAAGTATTGAAGGTAGGACTGAAGGGTAGGAAAAGAGCCTTCAAAGCAGCCAACAACAAGAAAGACACTGAGCCAGGCAGAGGGACAGTGAGACAACCCTATTGCCTTACAAAGCTGCAGAGAGAGAGCTTGGAGGTCCTTCCTTCCAAGCTACAGGCTAGGGAAACCCCTTACCTAGCCACACATATCTTGGTCTTTGCCACTATGAGCAAGTCCTTCCCACCCCTGTCCAGTGTTGGCAGACTGTTGACAGGTCACACCAGCAGAAGCACATGACAAAATGATAGTTCCGGTCATTTGTCATTCCCAACAGTGATGAACAAGAGTCTGTCCTGAGGAGAGGGCTGCTGCCATCTAGGACTGGGAAATCTTGGGCTCTTGACGTCTAGCCAAGTTAGGTCTCTAGGCTTCAGTGTGTTTATCCATCCCATGGTGCCCTGACATTCAGCCTAACCACTACTGCCTGTCTACACAGGTAGACCTGCTTTACAGAGTAAAACTTAGGAGGGGGAATGACCGTCAGCATGCTGTTCTTTTACTCCCACCAAGCTGCCACAGGACAAGTATTTGAAAGAGAGTTAAAGATTTGCCAGGCAGTCAGGTGGAGCTCATGAGATGCCATCCTCACGGATTGTACCTGTCCCCTTCTGTAATACATAAGGTGGGACTGGGGATTGAAATCCAGGTTTCTCTGCTTGTGAGCCATGTGTCCTGACATGGAGTCACCTCCAGACAAAGGTGCTTATAAGCTACAGGAAGGCCTGGGAATGAAGCTCTCTGGCCACTGCTAATGCCTGCAGCATGGAAGACAGGACGAGAGGGCGGAAGCCTGGAGGAATTCACCTCCACAAGGGTTTGCAAAGGCAGCTCTGGGCCTGGGAAGGTTGGCAGCTTGGTCTTATAAACCTAGGAATGTACCAGGATAATTCTGGGAAGGACGTTGCAGAAGCCAATAGACACCAGAAAAATAGAAGGCTATGCAGATCTGCCTTTGTTACCGGCTGTACAAGCTGACGGTGGGGCTTGTAAGGGAGCCAGCGGGTAAATGCCCCTCCTACCAGGCCTGGCGACCTGAGTTCCATCTCTAGGGCCCACATGGTGGAAGGAGAGACCTGACTCTCCCAACTCCTCCCCTGGCTTCCACCATAACGCAGACAAAATAATTTTTTAAAAATATTTCATTTAGACCAGGCATGGTGAGATACGCTTTTAATCTCATCATTAGGAAGGCAGAGACAAGCAATCTTTGAGTTCAAGGTCAGCCTGGTCTACATAGTGAGTTCCAGACCAGCAGCCAAGGCTATGAAGTGAGACTCTATCTCAAACAAACAAGCAAAAAACAAAACAGAAATGTAATTTTTTTAAAAAGTTGATAATGGAAAGATCTGGGGGCATAGCTAAGTTGTAGAGCTTTTGCCTAATATACCCCCAAACTCTGTGGTTAATCTCCAGCACCAAAACCCCTAATCTTTTTAAATTTTATTTTATTTATTTAATGTGCATTGGTTTTTGCCTGCATGTATGTCTGTGTCAGAGTGTTGGATCACAGACAGCTACGAGCTGCCATGTGGGTGCTGGGAGCTGAGTCCAGGTCCTTTGGAAGAGCAGCAAGTGCCCTTAACCCATGAGCCATCTCTCCAGCCCAAATCCCCCAATGGTCTCCATGGCATTTTATAAAATCACCAGAAAGAAACGTACAAATTGAGTAGTGTTTGTTTGTTTGTTTGTTTGTTTTTAATGTAGAAGAAATATAGAATACTGCTGTCTGCCCTTCTGGCTTTCTGATCTCCATAATTTCCATAATCATATGAGTATCTAGAGTAAGGAGAGAATATCAAATTCAGAAAATATAAATAAATAAAAGCAAGATTCTGGCCTAGGCTGGAAACCAGCTGAGCACCTCTTGCTGCTGTCCCCTGTGGTGTCCCTGCCCCTCTGCACAACTCCCTTCCCCCACACCCCCAGCCCTGGAGGCACTCCTGTTACTTTATCCAGGCAGCAGACCCCTATTGATCGTTCTACCCCTTCAGCTGGGCTCAAGTGACAGCAGCTAAAAAGAGATCTTGTACAAACTCCTACTTAGAGCACGGGGGAGCAGGGAAGAGGGCTGGAGGGGTACTTGCAGGCACCTGGAGAGTTGAGCGCACCAAGGGGACAGCCTGAGAGGTTTGTCTTGGCAGCGTGCCTCGCCTGGGCTTAGCACAGCCTTGCACAGAACTTGGTGTTCCAGAGTGGGTTACTGGAAGGAGCTGTGGGAGGGCAAGGAAGGAGGTCGAGTGTGCCACTCGGCAGCTGCCTTGCTGACCCAGCACTGCCCATCTGGAGCTGCCAGAGACTTGGAGAATGGAGGGATGGCGGATCCAGCTCCTGTATCTACTCTAAGCACCTAATTTCCTAGCCCCATGTTGGGAGAGGGGCTTCTGCCCATGCAAGTTGAAATATGCCCATTTTAACAACTCATACTGCATATCAAGATGGCATTCCCAGAGCCTACCTCTCCTTGAAGTAGAAGGAGCCACAGGTCACAAGGGACTGGCCTGAAGACCGGAAATGGGAGCAGTTTGTGCTTTGTGACTGGACTTGTACCCTGAACACACACTCTCTCTCCCCCCCCCCTCTCTCTGAGACAGGATTTCTCTGTATAACAGCCCTGGCTGTCCTGGAACTCGATTTTAGATCAGGCTGGCCTCTAACTCACAGCCTACCTCTGCGTCTCTAGTGCTGGGATTAAAATTATGTACCACCACCACCACCCAGACAACACCCTGAACCCTTGAGGATGCTTTTTGCTGGCCTTCTGTCCTCTCTGCCCAGGACACCTAAACACCTGAACAAGTGTTTGTCCCTTGAGGCAAGCCTAACCTATGTAAATCTGAATTTTAAAAAACAGACAAATGGATGGATTATTCCTTGTTTTTCATAATAACTCAGCTTCAAGAGTCTTTAGTCCACACAAAAGACAGTCTAAAATCTACCTGGGCTGGTGACACACTCCTTTAATCCTAGCTCTCAGGAGGCAGAGACAGCAGGATCTCTGTGAGTTTATGATCAGCCTGCTCTACGCACAGAGTTCCATAACAGTTAGGACTACGTAAATAAATTGTCTGCCAGGGCAGTAGGGTGCACTCCATCCATTCCAGTGCTCAGGAGGCAGAAGCAGGCAGATTTGTGAGTTCGAGGCCAGCCTGGTGTACAGAGAGAGTTCCAAGACAGCCAGGGCTACACAGAGAAACTCTGTGTCAGAAAAAAATAAAAACAAAAAATAAAAAAACAAAACAAAAAACAAGGAAGGAAGAAGGAAGGAAGAAAGGAAGGAAGGAAGGAAGGAAGGAAGGAAGGAAGGAAGGAAGGAAGGAAGAGTGAGCCTAAAAACAAAGAACAGGTATTATGAGCCAGGTCTGGTAGTATACACTTGTAATCTCAGCACTTAGGCAAGAGATTGATGAGTTCAAAATTAGCCTGATTTACCTAATAAGTTTCTAGTTCAGCCTGTCTGAGTGAGACCCTGTCTTCAAACCAAACCAAACCAACCAACCAGCAAAAAAGTGTCATGGTGTACCGGCTCCCCAGATCTCCAGAGCTGTAGAGGGTAAAATGTCTCTAGTCACATACCCATGAGTGATTGTGGAAAGCCAGGGGTGGGGGTGGGGACCTGGTGGTGGAGATGCAGATCTTGCGTGTGGTAAGGGCTGCTGTCTGCTAGTAGACGCCCCCGAGGTGCCAGGCTGAGGGCTGGGCCCTTGCCCTAGGCCTTGCAATACTGGGATAAGGAAAATCAGGCCCCAAGGATGCCAGTTCCACCTCTGCTATTTGCATAGCTTCAGGGCCCATGCATGAGAGGCCTTTATGAGACAACTGACCACCTCCTTGAGAAGCTAGCAGCATGGCATGCACATAAGCACCCCTACTGGAACACTTTCTGAAGGGCTTTCTCCAGAATGGGCCAAGCTCCTTCTGAGCTGGACAAGTTAACCATTGACTGAGACGGGGGTGGAGGTGCAGGGGAGACAGAAGGGGAGTCGGTTCTGTACTGTGGATCCTGCTCCCTCCCTCTACAGGGCCCAGTGGTCCTAGACCACTCTGAATGAGATTGGACAGGAAGTGGGAGTCGTTTCTACCAGATAGCCAGACACATACATGTTCCAGGTTGTGGGCCAGAGGGGATGGCCTTGAGCTAAGAGTTTTTATGTATATATAAAAACTTTCTCAGCAGGAATTCTTTTGGAGGCCTGGACCTTCCCCAAGAGGCCAGTGAGATGAGACTGGACGAAGTCAGAGTCTTACTGAGCTTGTCCACCATGGAGACGTGAGTGGGAAATCCTGGCTAGGACCTGTGTCTAGGTTTCCCCACCCACCAGTTCCTGCTGTCTGTACCTGTAATCCGGACTGCTCTGGGCTGGAGGTGCGACTTTCCCTAGAGGAGTTGAATGTAGGAGCTGCCCAGGCAGGTGAGACTGGAGGAGGAGAGGGTGTCTCCAGGGTGTCGCGCTGGCCAGACTCAGCCTGGAGAGGTGGGTAGGAGCAGCTGCAGGGCAGGTGTAAGAGACAGGTGCAGAAGCAGGTACCTGCTTGCTGCGCTGCAGCTCCAGGAGTCAAGGTGAACCTGAAACCCGGCCCCTCCCAGCAAAGTAAACAGAAGCAGAGGCTGGCTCAGGCTGATGAATATTCATCATCCCAGAAATCCAATCCCAGTGCCCCTGCATCCACCCAGAAGCCAGGGTCCTCCTGGGATCACCAAGCTAGAGGACGGAATCCCAAGGGACGTCTGGGATTGGGGCGCACTGGAGCCTCTCGCCTCAGTTTTCCAGCTCCTTAGTGTCTGGTTACACTCTGGAACCATCGCCGAAGCCTCTCCCACCCATTTTATCTTCCAAAGAGGCTTAGACCCCTCTCCGGCGTGGGCCACCACTTGGATCTTGCCGGGGCACACAAGAGAAAGGGTTAAGGGCCATAGCGGGCTGGGCATCCCAGCTCTCTTTGAACTCCCGGGGGTTGAAACCAGTCTCTGGTTGAACTGGTTAGCAGACCGGTTCCCAGGCTGTCTGCTCTCCCCCACCCAGAGTTCCTCTGCAGGCAAGGGGACTGGGATTTCTTCCTGACTTGAAGCCCCTCCACCCCCACCCCCAAGATCTTACTAGAGGAAAAGGGTGTGAGGCTCTTTAGACCCCTCACATAGCCTCTTCCTGCTCACGTGGTTATGGGGAGGAGGCTTAAAATAGTACACCAGAACCAGGTGTGATGTAACCCCAGGACTCAGGAGGCTAAGGCAAGAAAATCAGGAGTTCAAGGCCAGCCTGGGCCACATAGAGAATCTGTCTCAAAATATTAAAATACACAAAGAATTTCCTGTGGGCAGTGGTTTCCCAGACTCCAAAAGAGAAGGGTAGAGATGGAAGAGGAAGAAGTAGAGGCAGAGGGGGAGGAGGAAAGGAAGGAAGGAAGAAAGGAGGAGGAGGAGGAGGTGGTGGTGATAGGTATAGCAAACAGAAAGGTAGAATGTGTATGTACACAGTCAACCTCCCACAAACCCACCTTAGTCTGGCTGCTGGCCCTGGGGAGTGTCATTGGGTGGCTGCCCGGAGGCCTTCTCCTGACTTTCAGACCGGTCTCTCTCCAGAGTGAGACACAGCTGCATATCCTGGGTTCTCACAGCTTCTTGTTCCCACTACATTCACGGATGGCGTCCTTCCTTTCTACTGGGTACATGTGCCCAGTAGAACAGAGCAAGCCACTGGGGCTAAATAAAAGAGGCATAAAAGTTCTCATTTCCCTGGCTCCCTCCCCAGGGCATGTTTTGACTCTCACTAGCCAACTCTCAGGTCTTCTCCATCTCCAACCTTGCTTCAGCTAGGTCTAGCAACTTCCTGCTCCTCCTCCTCTTTCTTCTTTCTTTCCTTCCTTCTTTCTTTCTTTCTTCTTCTTCTTCTTCTTCTTCTTCTTCTTCTTCTTCTTCTTCTTCTTCTTCTTCTTTTTCTCCTCCTCCTCCTCCTCCTTCTTCTTCTCCTTTCTTCCTCTTCTCCCTCTTCCTCCTCTTTCCCCTCCTCCTCCTCTCTTCCTCCCCTCTCCTTTTCCTCCCCCTCCTCTTCCTCTTCTTCTTCTTCCTCCTCCTCCTCCTTCTCCTCGTCCTCCTCCCTTTCTTCTTCCTTCTCCTTCTCCTTCTCCTTCTCCTTCTCCTTCTCCTTCTCCTTCTCCTTCTCCTTCTCCTTCTCCTTCTCCTTCTTCTTCTTTTGCCTCCTCTTGTCTTGGATCCTATTCCTCTCATCCTAAATAGCCCTCAGATGGACAGACTTCCAAAGCTTCCCATCCCATGACCCGTGCTGGAGCTCCCTTGCCCCAGGCTCTCTTAGGAGGGAACCTCAGTAGCAGCAGTTCTTAACCTGTGGGTTGAAACCCCTTTGGGGGTCACATATATCATATCCTGCACATCAGATATTTACAATTCACAACAGTAGCACAATCACAATTATGAAGTAGCAACAAAGATAGTTTTAGGGTTGGGGGGGCTCACCACAACGTGAGGAACTGCATTAAAGGGTCTCAGCATTAGGAAGGTTGAGAAGCGGTGTTAACAGCCTTCCAGGTTCTTTCCTACCCTCCCCACCCAACTCTCCTGAACTCAGGCTCTTCCTTGCCCACCATTATGGGTACAGAGGTTGTTTAGGGAGGTGAATTCAGGAGCACTGCCTATGCTCTGAGCTAGGAATAGCTTCCTCAGCTACTCAGGTCCCCAAGCCAAACTCCTATTCATCCCTTCAAACAGGCACTAATCCTTACATCTCCATAAGACCAAGGCTTTTCCTGTACTCCATAGAGGTTGTTCATATATTTTTGTTGAGTAAGAGATAGATATCAAGACTGATAATGTACACAAGCATGTGTGCACATACAAGTAGATAACAGTATATAATGTGCTGTACAGCTGTTAGTCCCCCTTATAGAAGAAATAGTAGCTCCTTAAGCCCAGAAAGACACATCACCAATATCACCAATACGGCTGCTGCATAGTAGGACCTTTTTTTTCCTTTTTTTGGAATAGGATCTCACTATCCATCTCTAGCTGTCCTGGAATTCACTATGTAGACCAGGCTGGCCTCAAACTCACAAAGATCTACCTGCCTTTGCTTCCCCCAAGTGCTGGGATTAAAGGTGTGTGCCACTGTTGCCAGCAACATAGTTTGACTTTAAAGGCATTAGTTAGAAAAGGAAGCATCATGGTTATCTACAGGAGATCCCGGCAGCCACTTGCTCTGTGCTGCTCTCCTGGGAGCATCTAGGTCTCTGAGGCAGAGATCCCGTGAATTTGACCTCTGCAGCTGCAGCTATACAGCTGGCTTGCTCTTGGCTTATCTTCTCCAGGAGTGAGGAATGTGGGACTTTGAGGGTGTTATTTTGCTAGGTTTCCCTGTCTCTGGCATAAGGCACACACAGTTGTCTTAGTAAGGTATCCATAGCTTCTTAGGTAGGTCATTTTAAGAATCCCCAGGCTATTATCTTCCCAGAAGACAATAGAAGCTAAAAACCTGCAGTTCAGGGAAGAGAGTAGGGTCAGGTGAGAGGTGCTTTGACCTGTAGATCATCTACCCCAGTCAGCTCCCAGTTTCCAACACTATAGGAAGGGCTTTGTCCTCTGTAATAGGTCTTCCTCCCCCTCTTACCTCTGTGATGGTTGAAGCATGGGGGAGGTACAAACCCTGCTCTTTTAGCTCTGCACTGAAGATGGAACCCCTTATGAGAACTGCAGTATCAGGCCTGCTTGTGCCTACCTCTACTGAAGGGTATGGGCAGGCCCTTCCTTCTGGAAAGATTGGCCCCTGAGAAGCCAGGCCCACCTTGTAGCCTTCAGGACATTTATTCTAGGAGGTGCAGACTTGGAGTTATGGACATCACTACCCTCTTTTATTGCTATGTAAAACTTGGCACTATCAAAGTACATCTCTGAAAACTAGGTTCAAGTATAATGTGCCCTACGCAAGCCAACAGTGTGTGTTTTTAAAAATATATCCTTCCTGAGTTAAGATCACCCAAGGGAGTACTGAAGACCTGGGCAGCCTGGGCAGCTACGAACACCCATTATTGTTAGACTTTGGCGCAGCTTAGAACAGACAACACCATATCAAATGGTTCCAGGGGGGTGGGGGTTATTCAGGGCAAAGGGCAAAGGTGGGAGAAGAGAGACAGAGGAAGATGGCGGAGAAAGAGAGTAAGGTCAGGGAGTTCTACCTATTTTATATGGGCGGTGATGTAGCCTCTCCCAGATAAAGGTGAGGTAGCCAGGTGGATTCTGGGAGTGTATGGTGGTTGCCTTGGCAACGATGTAGGGTTGCCTAGATCACCTAGATGTGATGTCACTGGGTTCGGGCCTGATACCAACAATTATGTCCAGCCTAGTTAGACATAGCCTTTCTGTTTTCCTGAGCTCTGTCCAGGAACAGAAACTGGTTCTGGAGATATTTTACCTCTGTATTACCCCCAACACTCTTTTTCTAGGAAACCAGAGCTCCTGAGAGAGTGCAGGGCCTGGCCCACATGACCAACAGAGGAAGGCGGAAGAGACCAGATCTTGAGGTTACTTTACTTGGCCCATGTCACAAGCACAGAGAACAAAGATCAATTTCTGATGGGTCACACCTAAGGCAGCTGGGAGGCAGGGCAGGGGTGGCATCAGCTGCCTTCTCGTCTGAGGTGGGCAGTGGAGTTATAAATGTGGGCAACAGGTTTCTTTCTCCTTTTTGGCAGGAAGCAATGCAAGAGGCTCGGGTATTCTTTCAGATGCCCTCCACTCCCCAAATGGAAATTTGGATCCCCTTAACACCTCACAGGTAGGGCTTCATACTAGGTATATGGACATGGATATCTGTATATGTGTATTCACACACACACACACACACACACACATACACACACACACACACACGTCTTCAACAAACATTTTTTTTTCACACTAGGGATTGAACCTAGGGCATCTACCACTGAGCAATGTCTCCAGTTTTGTTCTTTTGGTTGTTAATTTTGTGGTTGTGTTTTTTTTTTTTTTTTATGTTTTGAAACCAGAACATTTATTTCATGATTGGTTGTCATACCTTCAAGATGAGGCCGATGTTCCCCTTAATTGCCACACTTAGGAGGCAGAGGCAGATGGATCTTTATATAGCAAGATGTTGTCCCAAAAGAGGGAAAAAAAATCATACTCAAAGTCTGGAGCGATCGCTCAGAGGTTAAGAACACTGGATGCGCCGGGCGGTGGTGGAGCACGCCTTTAATCCCAGCACTTGGGAGGCAGAAGCAGGCAGATTTCTGAGTTTGAGAGTTCGAGGCTAGCCTGGTCTACAGAGTGAGTTCCAGGACAGCCAGGGCTACACAGAGAAACCCTGTCTCGAAAAAAACCAAAAACAAAACAAACAAACAAACAAACAAAACAAAACAAAAAAAGAACACTGGATGCTGTCCCAGAGGAGCCAGGTTTGGTCCCCCACACCCACAAGCAGCTCACAATGAACTGTAACTCCACATCCAGAGAGACAGACGCCCTCTTCTGGCCTCTGAGGACACTGTATGCACATGATGCACAGACATACACATAGGCAAAACACCCATACACA